GAGAAGAATTAACAATCATCGAAAGAGATTACCTTCGTGAAAATGAGCAATCATTATTATTAGAATCAGATTCAAGTTATATTCTAGTTGGTGCTACCGGTGGTATTGCTGTTGTTGTGCTTGCAATAAGTATTTTCTGGGGACTTAGCGGATCCACTTTTGCGCAAAATTAATTTAATGAACAATTCGTTTTTGTTTTATTGATGCAATATTAAATGTAGTAATTATTATCAGATGCAAAAGAATAACTTTTTTTTTTTTTTTATTTACAAAATAAAGAATTGATTAGTGTGTCAATTTTATCTTATGCTAATATTATAGTTTTAAAAAAAAGAAAATTATTTATTTGTACAATTTGTAATATTGTTTAGTATAGTGATAAAAATTAATGATGAAAGTAATGGTAAAAATTTTGCTTGCGAAAAAATATTAAATTAAAAATTATTATAAAAACTTCTGGAATTCATAATTTACAAACACTTTATGACTACGATTTTTAAAATAATAAGTGGGTAAGTAGATTAATCAATTAATTTGATATCAATTTTTGTTTTTATTTTGCGGATAGATGGAATAAATGAAATGACTGATATTCACTAATTTTTAATTTAGATAAAAATGTCATTTGCATATATATGAATTTATATTTATTGTATTATACAATGTAATGTCGTTCAAAATTTATTGATAATTTATAAAATAAAATATCAATAATCAATTGCTAAACAAATGGATACCAAGCATAAATTTTGCACTGAATAATAACTGAATAGGTATATGTATATTAATTCTATTTACTTTAATAAATTATGACTTTAAAATTTGTTAAAATGATCACCTCTATTACGACATGTTGCGAATTTTATTCAAAATTATTCGTTGAGTGTGTGAAATAGAAGTTGCTATATATCAAAATTTCCGCATTGAATAGGAACAGATTTTTGAAATCTTACTGCTGAAATTGAAATTTGAATGTTGATTATAATAATTTATAAATAATAGGAGCAAAAAAAAAAAGGGAAAAAAAAAAACACCAATATCAATATATGTAAAAATGTTTTATCTCTTTAAAAAATTTAATAATTACCATTAGCGACTATAATTTTCTTCAGAAAAAAAAGCCAATTAATTAAAAAAAAATTTACGCATGGAAACTTTACCGATTAAAAATAAAATTAAGTAACATTTTTTGTTCTCTTTCATTTTTACGTTAAACTTCAAATATATACGAAATTTATGAAAGTTTAGTGAATGCTGAACAATTAAATTTGTCGATATTAAGGTTTACTAAAGTTAGCATTTCAAAGTATAATTGATATGATTAAAACCAAATACTTTTGATAATTTAATTGCATAACTATTCATAAATATTTTCTTTTTTGCAGTAAACATAAATTGAAAATTTATCATATAAAATGTTATAAAAAAATATTTTATTATATAAAATATATCAAAAAAAAAGAAAAAAAAAACAGAAATAAACTTAATATACGCAAAATATTTTTAATTTTAAATACTTACAATAAACCGATAACAAAGTCATATTGCTTACTTCATCAAACTAATTGAAACAAAAATAAGTTGTATTATGTATATATGTGTATGTGACCTGCGTGTGTGTGTGTGTGTGTGTGCTAGGTTGTCTTTTTAAAAGATTTTAATATTTTCAAATTTCAATGCAGTAAATGAAACCATACTCATTCATTGATAATTATTTTTTTACAGTATTACTAGTATATTTGTCATTTGATCATTTGATATTGAATTGATACTAAAGAAAAAAAAAAAAGCAAAACTAAAAATGAAAATGTTTTTTTATCATTATGATTAGAAATATGCAACTGTGATTAACATAAAATGAAACATTGAAGTTACATTTAAATCTTAATTGTTTGTAAAAATAAAAAAAAAAGAAATTAATTATATTTAATGATTGAAATTAATTATATTTAATTTATTTTGATCACATTTATTTACTTCACACAATTTACAATGCTAATGGGCTCATTCACTTTTTTTTTTGTTTTTTTTTTTTAGGAAAAAAAATGATCAAAGAACAAAATAGCTTGGTCACTTTCTCTAGTGACCCATTTGTTGCTAGGCTCTTTTTCTGCTTTTCCTGCTGATCGCATTTTAAATAATTGTAGAAAGTAAATGGCATGAAAAATAATTTTATTGCCTTAAATAAATTAAAATTAATGTAAAATTTTTGGACATCCGAAGTCAATAATATAAATGCATTCATTGTCACTGTTATTTTACTCATTCTAATAAATAATTTTTTTTTTTCTTTTAGAACAAAAATTTGTTAGTTTTAACTAATTATGTTAATATTCATTAGCATAACAATGCTTTCATAATTCAAAAGTCTAATCAATTTATAATCTAACAAAAAAAACAAAAAAAAAAAAAAAATGAAATTGTTAATGTGATAATTTGGCACTAAATTTTAGAATAAGTTATTAATTCATTTTTTTGCGAACAAAAAAAGAATTCAAAAAATGCCGGTTATATCTAACATTCATATAATATCAAAACTTAGCTTCCATCACTTTTTCACCATCCATTTTTCCATTAAAATATTTCATAACAATGAATTTTATGCATTGAAAATTAATTCTATCTTTGTAATATTTCTATTTATCACAAAAAAAAAAAAAAAAAAAAAAAACGAAAAAAAATGTTTTTATACTATCAAAAATTTACAAAATCTTACTCATTAAACTAATATTTCATTTTTATTAAAATTAAATTTCGATTATTTTGAGCAAAGCGATGAAATTAGTATTTTGATTTGAAACAAATTAAGGCATGACAAACTAATTTCAATTATCTAATTAATTTCATTCGAATACATGAATACTTTTTATAAATGCTATCATTAAACAAATAATATTATGATTTATTAATTAATTCCATCAAATCTTTTGAATTTAAATTTAACAAATCGACAATTTTGCAGCATAAACTCATAAATTTACTTTCACTCCAAATTTCTAACAAATAAGCGATTTTTATTTTTTTTTATTTTCAACTATATACATATGCAGTTTATATTGATTAAATAGTATTATAAGTTGCAAAGCTTATATGTTTATAACATAATACATTTTAATTTTTTCTGCCATACTTTTCTATTTAATTTAAACTACAATCATATAAATTCAAGTTTTTGTTTTTGGCTTTTTTTTTTTTCTATGTTTCAAAATAATTTCCAAATGGATACATAGTTCATGAGCATTCCTTTAATGGTATTTTTTTATATATCTTAATTGAATACTCCAAAACTACTATCACTATTAATTTATTTTAATTTAAGCAAGTTTAAAATTATAATTTTATCTCTATAATCAAATTATAACCAAAAAGAATCTGTCTTTTTTTCTTTAGCGTATAATAATGGTACAATTTTTTTTTTCTCTTGTTGTTTCGTAGATTAAAATTTTAACTAAATTTTGTTGTTTAAAATCGTTTATCGATAATCGTTGCATAAATTTTTTCACCTAATATTATGCAAAAAATGAATTGATAACTTATTAAGATAAATATGTAAGAAATTTTCATCCAAATGAAAAAACACTGCTAAGCAACAGAGATACAACAGGTAATACAATAGGATCACATAAGAGAATAGGTATCATTCATTTTACCATTTATTTTCCCTAATATATATTTTTTTGAAGACTAGGTAATTTAAAAGTTTTTAGTATCCCATCTTATTAAAATTTGCTCTTCTTCTGGCGTTTTTTTTTTTTTTTATTTGATTGCTTTTTCAAATTTAATTATCGGCTTAACAATAAAATTTTTTTTTTTTTTTAAAATCAAATTGGACGTAATGAAGTTACATTTGCACTTCTCTTATTTTCATTCACTGAAACTTTTTTATTTGTTACATTGTGCATTTCTCTTTTTTCGAGAAATTAATACTGTACAACAATATTCTTATTCTAATTTGTAAAATTCGAAACACTTTGTGTGATTAATTACCAGTTAATTCTCATTACTGATATTATTAATGTATTACATTTACACGGTCAGTGATCGCTCTACGCTAAAAGTTTTGGAATCCTTTTTGCATGAGTTCAATATCGAGATCTTGATTGAGTTTAGTATTAAATTTTTCTGTCTTCTTAGTGATAAAGAAATCATAAACTTTTGGGTAAACAAAGTGACAGTAAGGAAAGAGTAAGAAACGAAGGAAGGAAAGCGATATGGAAAAGATTAGATTATTTATTATCCATATTGCATCTAACCTCCGATTTGGTCTATCAGATGCAAAGGATTCGTAATTTTAGCTTTTCAGTGTTCGAATTTTGTATTAAAAGTAATATTGAGAGTTACCTTAAGGATTAGTAAGTGTTTTTTCAATTATCTTTCCTTTTCACTAATATAAAGAAAAATAGAAAAGAATAAATAAACAAACAAACAGATATTTATGTTTATTTATTTATTTGATTCTTACATATTTATTTTCTATCAATGGGATAATTAAAATTAGTTGAAATATTTTTCTAATTTATTAAAAAGTATACTAATTTTGTTAATTTAATCAATTAGTTCATTCAGTTATACAAAATTCAATTCATCATGCTCATATTTTATTTTTCCAAGTTAATTATGATAATTTTTTATTCTGATATTGTCCAGATTATTGAATAATTCAATGCAAAATAGTTTCACTTGAAGATGCTGAAGATGTAACTGTACGTAAGATAACAATTACATATAAGTACTCAGAAGGATTTTATAAAATCGATTATTTAATTATACCACAATCAGTTGATGTGTTAGTTTATCGGAAATTCGAATTGTTTGTAATCGGTCATTTCTTACAAAGGTTATTTAAGGCAATATACTTCATTATGCTTTTAATATTTCCAAACTTCGTGTTTTCCGCTATAATACTTTATATTAAGTTTGAATTTCGTTTTTTTTTTATATTTATTATCAACATATCTTAATGAATATATGTTTTCAGGTTTTCAATTCAGTACTGTCTAATGAACAAATTAGGTATATTGTTGACAAAATTACGCATTCAACTTATCGGTGGTCGATCATCACCGTCATCTAATTCTAACAATTTAGAAAGCTCAGCAGTTGATCCAATGCCATACACTCTATCATTTGGTGTATTTAAGGTCTGTTTATCATCTAAATAGTTAATCAGTTCTTCATCAAAATTTCCATAGCTTATGATATATTTATAATTATAACTGTCTGAGTTTGTTTTTTTTTTGTTTGTTTGTTTTTTTTATTACTTTTAACAAGTGCAATTTATTATAGTTGATTGTTGTTATAACTTCATCAATTGGATTTGGCGCATTCTTAGCAAAAGAAGTAGCCTAATTTTTAAAGAAAAATAAAGTGTTTAATCCAAAAGAAGAAAGAAATGATTGACATTAAAGCTTAATGTTTGAAAATTTTTTCAGTTTTGAAAAATGTGTTTGTTTTGAAATTTGAATTTTAACTTTTTTTTTTGTTACAGGTATGATATCAATCATTTAGGATGTATTGATATTCGTTTTTTATCAGGAGAAAAGGAAAAAAAAAATAAGAGAAGATGAAAATACCGTCACCTAAAAGGAATTTTTTTTTTAAAATGACTTAAATTTAATTTCAGTAAAACAAATCTCAAAAGTTTAGTTTTTTTTTTTCCTTACATATAGTCATTAATTGTTTACATCTTTGTAAGCTTATTTATTATTTCAACCTGTCGTTTTAATTTGTCACTCTTTTTAAAAAATTTTTTTTAGATAATATTTTCGCGTCTGAAAATTTTATTTCTGTGTGCATTAATAATAATAATAATAATAATAATAATAATAATTTCTCTTAGTGCTTTTGCTCTTTTTTTGATCACAATTTGGTCACAGCATTGAATAATTGAAATAATATAAGCAAATACTAACAAAAGGAATTGCGTTTTGTATAATTTCCATTGATTGTCATGAGAAAAAGAAATCAAATTCTGATATTTCTTAAAATTTTAAAATTTAGCAAAGAAAAAACGGGAAAATTTTAAATGCAATGAAAATGAAAGTAGCAAGCTGAGAAGTACATAATCAATTGTAGAGGTCACACAAATAGGATATTACATAGCGAAGGTCAGTAATACTTCAGTGTTCTCATCAGATTAGGTTACTTCACAATTACTTTCAATTATTTGGATTTCATTCAAATTTCGTCCCAGTTATTTTGCGTTTAAAATTTCATTACAATAACTTTAAAAAAAATTTTAAATTTATATCATACAATACGAAATTTATCACTTTTATTTCTAATTAATTAAAATGATCAAATTTGTTGTTGCTGTCCTATTTGACTTATTTTTTGTGGCACGAAACGATTGGGTACCATTTGAATTTATGTATGAGCGTAGAGCAGGTGAAACTTTGTTAATTTAAAAATTCAGGATTTAAATTTTAAATTCACTCATTTTTACATTAATTTCAAATTTAACATACCCCTTTTTCCTTGTTTAATAGTTTTGCTAAAAAAAAAAGCAATAATTACTAAGAAATTGATTTATTTCTTTTGTTTCTATATTAATTCTCAATTATAAAAAAGATTTTACAAAAAATAAAAATAAAAGGGAAAGACTATTTCAGCTTGAAATTGTAATTAATTTTAGATTGGTGCATTGATGAAGATCCATTATGTCCAACACTTAAAGGTTGGTGTATTAATGCTAATAAAACACGAGAAAATTATATGAAGAAAGCTTGTCGACGGACATGTCATATGTGCTATGAGGGAATGAACAATACGAAAACATGTTATGATAAGGAGGACAATTGTGCTACACGGGTTCAATTCAAAATTAAAAAAAAAAATTCCAAAATAAAAAAAAAAAAATAAAATTTTGAGAAAAATTATTTCATCACAAAAAAAAAGAAAGAAAAAATTCTAGGAAGATATGATTAAAAAATTTGGAAATTTTACAAAAACATAATTTAAATAGGTCAAAATGAAATAAATTGATACAATTTGATATTTATTTTTTTTTTTGTTTTTGTTTCTTGCATATAATCATTTATATATTAATGAAATTCTTTCAAAACGTTTAATTTTTTCTTTTTTTTTTTTTTTTTTTAGGAAATTGATTGTTTTTCTGAAGCAACTGCTAAACGTATGTATGATTTATGTCCAGAAACATGCGGATTTTGTAATAATATTTGCGCTGATTTGGCAACAAATTGCGCTGAATTAATCGATTATTGCATGTTTTCCTATTGGCATCAAGCGGTAATGCAATCCAGATGTCGTTTAACATGTTCATTTTGCAGGTTTCACTTATTTTTTCATTCATTTTTCTCATTGCAATAAACATAAAATAAGATGTAACATTTAAATTTACGATAATTAACAATATTGCAAACTTTTCATATCAAATCTTACACTAGTTATAAATTAATTATTTCAACATGCTCAATTATTTGATAGGTAGTTATTTCACCTTCGATTATAATTTTAGGCTAACATACCATACTTATTAAACTTAATCACAAAATTTAATACCTTTTCTTTTTTTAAATAAATCGACTGTCATAACTTTTTTTTTTTAACTTCTGCATTTTTCAGAGTATATGATCGAGAAAATTTCGAACCTACAGATTGTTCGGATAACTTGAGCTACTGCAGATACAGAAGGAATCTTTGTGAGCGTATTGAACATCAGCATGACATGCGTACAGATTGTTCCTATACGTGTAACTTTTGTGATCATATCGAAACTGAAGAGGATATTCCAACAGAATGCAATGATTCTGAAATTGATTGTATCAGAAAGAGACATTTATGTTACGTCGAGGGACGTCATAGCTACTATATGTGGCGTAATTGTAAGCGTACCTGTGGTTATTGTCCACAGTATAATTTAAGTAACACATCAACAGATGACACTTATGATTCTTACTATTACTATTATTAGTTTCTCTAATATTGATCAGTCATGAATTGAAAATGTCACATTTTATTTACATTTTTTTATCCTGTTTAACATTATCTTAATTATGGATAAAATTTATAAATTTATTTTAACGCAAGTTCAATGAATAATATATTACCTGTGTAACTTTCTCTACTCATACTTAAGCAAATTCTAGATGAAAACAACATTTTGTATCATCATGATAAAACATATTTATTGTCAATTTACATGAGTTATTTACTTATGTTACATTAAATAAGAATATCATTCTAATTAAATACAAAAAGCAATATAAGAAGTTTATACAACCGTAATTGCAATGATCATATGTCTTTTAGTGAAAATTAAAAATATTTATATCATTTTAGTACACTTATATGATCTTAATGAATTATTTACTAAATATCACTTTCACAGACATAAACTCGCAATTCACACAGCCACTTTAATAATTTTCGGAACAAAAGCATACAAAACGCCTAATTCAAAAACTTTGTGCTGGGGACGATTAAATTTGCATTTTGAGGCAGACGAACGAACTCCAACTTCTTTAAAGTTCGTAACACTACTCCTGCAGCGTAGCCTGTCTGCACAAGTCCAGTATTCCGGTTAGGTTGTCAGCTTTTTTTCATGACGTAATCGTCCAGGATGTTGCGTGGGTGTGCGTGGAAAATAATTGAGGAGCGTGGTGTGGATTTGAAAAAAAAAGTCGTAATGTGGATTTGAAAGAAAAAGTCTGCAAAGTGTGATTCGTTGTTCAGATGTGTGCTGATTTCAGCTCTAATTTCTACGTGGATTTAGTGTTACAGTTATTCCTCTGTTTGCGTAAAAATATGGGTGAACCAGAGGATGTTGATGCGATGCTTGAGGAGGCGCTCGATAAAATTGAAGATGTAAGTGTGGTTTCGTTTCTTTGGTTGCAAAACTATTGGTAAACTTGTTTATGGGTGTGGGTAAGTGAAGCGTGGAAACACATGATAGGACCAAAAAAAAAGGAAAATAAATGCTTCCCCCAACGTTAATGGCTGTTGGTACAGTAATCGTTATGTTTTGTGCAATATTTCACTGCGTTGCTGCTTTTAGGTGTCTTCTAGCTCTGTAAATTTGGACTGGTTGGTTAGCACATTATCATTCGGATCATATTCTACTTCCATTCGTGATTGCATTGTTAGAGTATCCATATTTTTTTTCATGACATTTCCATCCTATGGATTTGAAGGGAATAATCTGCAGTGTTGACTCGTTGTTCACGTTTTTGCTAATTTCAGCTCTAGGATTTATTTAGTGCAAATATTACAAGGGACTTTTCGTTTTTAAGACTTTTCTGGCAAATGCTGTTACAGAAAATAATTCTTATTGTTTCCCTGTTTCAGTCTGATCGAAATTACGGTCATGGGCACGCGGAACCAATGGCAGCATTGATACGGGGTGAACTAATGAAGCAAGAGGAACCATCCGGCGAAAGTAGTGAGGAACACAATACAACCAATGGTACAGAAAAAATGGATGGGGATGGAATGGCTTCGTCACACAGCAAGAAAAAGAAAGAGAGCAATGAACATAAAAAGCGATCTCGTTCCAGGTCTAGGTAGGTCAAAAACAGATGAAAATTTTTCCCACTAGTAATTTTGCTTTTTTTTTTCTTTGATCTTTGAGTATATGTTTATTTCAGCAACCTTTGTAGACAGCACCTCACAGGGTGAAAGGAATTCAGAACTGTTGCAGGAATTCATTTCCAGATCTTTTATAAGTGATGGTATGGGTGCGTGCTTTCATTTACCAATGTCATTTTAATATATATTTCGTCTCTATACAAGTTAGGTGACCGCGTCTCCGAGCATTTGTAGAAGCTGTGGCGATTCTGGAAAATTACTTTCCTACTTTTTTCTGGTAGTTTTTCCTAGTAGTGGATTATGCAAACGTTTCTTACATAGGACAAAGTTACAAGTTTTTTCCACCGAATTGAATTAACCCTGCTGCCCTCTTACCTTGCGTTTAGTGACGGGTTATCCATTGATTGTTGTGGATTTCCCAAACTGAGATTTGACGGAAGTAAAACTATTTCGCTCTTTTCACTGCATGAATTCTTAGCGCATCACGACTCGTCTAACGTTAGTTTCTGGTTGTAAGTCAGTTTGGATTTCTTACAGGAAGTAAAGGATTTGGAATTTCTAAATGTACGGTAATGTATGTCCGTATGTAATGTTTTTTTTTTTTTTTTTTTTTTTTTTTTGACGGACCTACTGTGTCTACGACTTAATCTGGAGGCCACAAATGACTGCAGAAATAATAAGTAATTAAAAACCGTAATTTAAGTCGAATCGTCGTTGTAGAGTCATAAAATCGATTGATACAGCTCTGTGTCACCTTATACCTTCTGCATTATAATGATGAACAAAGCTCGATCGATGTTTCGGGAAACTGTTTGCTTCTTGTTGGAAACTGAATGAGGATGAATTGAAAATGTGGACGATGAGGTACGCGAGAATGTCGTATATGTGTTGATGCCTATCAATGCAGTCGGAGCGCGCCGCCTGTCTCATTTTTCTTATCACTTAATTTCATGGAATAAAATGTATTTCCTAAAATTATATGGTTCGATGCGGTTGAAATTTTTTAAAAATACTGTCAAGGCTGGCGCGCTCCAAGTGTTACAGGCATAACACGATGTCATATGGCGTTATGGATGATTGGAAACACTGGATCAATCTTTGCCTTCATTTCACTTCTGCAGTTGTCTCATGAGTATCAGATATTTCGACTCCAGCGAGCTTAATTTTGCAATTTACAATGGACTTGTGTTTTTCTACAATACTTTTCAGGGATTGTTTCTCACAGTTATTGCACTTAATTATGTGATTACTGGTTTCTTTGTTTTGATGCTTCCATGATTACAGATCTTCATCTCGTAGCCGTTCTCGCAGCCGTGACAAAGACAAGGAGAAAAAGAAACGACGCAGAAGTTCTAGTCGTGATCATAAGAAGAAGTCTCGGTCAGTATTTTTGGGCCTTTTTCTCCTCTTAGTCCTGTAAACAGCTGATAAGAGATGAAATGCATACAAAGGATTTCAATAACGAACTTGAGTTGCTGCTGATCCAAACTAAGTCGGTTTATACATACTGTGCTTTTTGGATGTGTTAATGACAAGCATTAGATAGCCTTTTTCTTTTTCTCTATTCACAGTAGAACATGGGTAACCAACAGAGCGCTGAATGGTACTAATTTGCAGTCATGTTTTGTGTTGTGTTTTATCTATTCCCACATGATAAATATGTTTATGTCGGGATGTAAACTGATCAGAACATTGATGTTGGAAATGATTCTTTTTTAGTTCACGTTCAAGATCGCGCAGACACAGCTCGCGGAAGCGTAGTCATTCGCGTCGTCGGTCACGGTACTTTTTTTACTTTGTTTAATTTTTGAAGTAAATTCATAGAGTAATAAATGAATATCAAAACCGTTTTGCATTTGCGAGTCGTGAAAGAAGATGACTACTGATTCCAGTTTTTTTGATCCAGTGGTCTCTTGTCATTCATGCCAAAAGTTTTGGCTCGCACTACCATTTGATATTTTAGCAAATATTCAATGGTAGGACGGAATAGGTTATGTACATACATTTGAATATTATCCCATTTTGTGTACCCTTATTGATATTCTAGAACAGGTGCTACAATAATGTTTTTAAAGACATCATTGGAAGTATCATTGATATGTTTGATTATAGTTCGAGAGATCGCCATCGTCGGTCAAGATCGCGACGACATTCGAGATCGAGATCACGTGATCGCAGGCGACGGTCGCGCTCCAGAGAGCGCAGGCGAAGAAGCCCGTCATGGTCATTTCTTTAATTTCTTAACTAAAAATCTTTTTTCAAAAATTTTGTTCAGCTAAATAGCTGAGTGGATGCAGAAAAAAAATCAAATTGGGAAATTTTTTCATTGTAGGTCACGACCTCGTGTGCTTGATCATCGTGACCGTCGCGGGTTCTCTCCACCATGGAGACGTTCACCACCTCGTGGACCACGTTTGCCAGGACCCGAAAGACGCGATGTGTAAGTTCCTAAAGTTTCACACGGTTAACCATCAATTAAGTTTGGTTCATGGAGGGGCTGACGCACTAATTTGTTTCGGATTTTACTTCCTACGTTCGATAAAATCATGAATTTTTTAAGGATGCCGTTTACTGCGCGTCGTTCGCCGCCTCCAAACGCAAAAATGGATATGACATCTGAAGAGCGTGACCAGCGTACTGTGTTTATACTACAGGTAATTCTTCCATTGTCCAATAATGAAGTGTATACCATTTTCCTCTTATTTTCTTATAATATGTAAAAGTGCTTCAGATAGCGAAGGAAACTCGACCACGTGATCTGGAAGAATTTTTCTCTAGCGTTGGGCATGTACGCGACGTGCGAATAATTACAGATTCGAAAACTCGACGATCAAAAGGAATTTGTTATGTGGAATTTTGGGAAATTGAAAGTGTTAATTTGGTTAGTAGTTGTTTTAGAAAATTAAAAAACATGGGTAATGTTGCTCGTTATTTTTTTAACGCTTCTGTACTTTAATGCTTTTGTACGACTCCTAGTTGCAGATATTTCCTCGATATCATCAGATTGTATTAATTTCCCTTGACATCCAACCTATTTTTATAATAGTTTTCGAAAGTCATATTTACCAGTATTAGAGCTTCAGATTTTTCTAATGGAATTTCTTAAATTTTCAATCTCATTAATGGCAGATTTAAAATGAATCTGAAAATTTTGCATTCGAAATTTTGCTGCTTGTTTTATGAATATCCAATGTTAATCATTTGTATTTCCAGGCTCTTGCACTGAATGGGCAGAAATTGCTCGGCGCGCCGTTAGTAATCCAGCCAACATTGGCTGAGAGAAACCGTGCAGCTAACAACACCGTTGGTGGAACACTTGGCTTTGGTCCTACAAACACCACAGGTCCACTGAAGCTCTATGTTGGCCAATTGCATACAAGTATAACGGAAGATATGTTAGGAAGGATTTTCGATCCATTTGGAAAGGTATATTTCGTGTGTAATTGTTTTGTGATTTTTTGATTTACTTAATGCATTACGCAGAATAACGTATTGCAGATAGAGAACCTGGAAATTGCGACCGACCTCAGTGGTGTTTCGAAAGGATATGCGTATGTCACGGTATATTTAATGCGAGTTTTTCGAAAAAGAACTAAACTTTCACTTTTCTGCACTTCTCACGCTTTGTAAGTTCATCTAACTTAATGTTAGTTGTCAGTATGCAAGCTTTTCAGTTTCGACATGCAGATGATGGTAAAAGAGCCATGGAGCAAATGAATGGATTTGAATTAGCAGGTCGCCCAATGAAGGTATGGGTTGATTCAGCTTCACATTCTGCATCGTCTTCTGGATTGTTTTATCCTCTTATATAAACGTATGAAAATTAGTGGAAAATGTGCTAACTTCAAATTCTCTAGATGGAATTTACTTTTAGGATATGTTTGTTAAAACTGGATACCAACATGAAGTCATGTGATTCTTTCATATTTTTAGGTGTGCTCTGTTGAAGGAGATGAAATGCCACCACCAGTCCCTCAGCGGACACTTGATACTGATGATGCGGACAGACGTGGTATTGATTTAGGGACAAGTGGTCGTTTACATCTGATGGCTAAATTAGCTGAAGGTACTTTTTATTTTTTGCACAGAAAGATTATATATATATATAATGACTGGTAGTGGTATACTACGGAATAATTCGATTTTTTAATTTGTTTGTTCGTTTGAAATTATCGCTCTCGGTCGTAATGTTAGTAAATAATTGTGGTTATCGTAGAATAACATAGATTTTCAAGATGTGGCTTTTGTCATTATAGTGTTGATTTGTAACAAAACTCAGTTCTAGACGAAGTTGGAGTTACTTATGTCTTTAACTTGTGCATTTACTATGAGGAATTCGTGCATTGCAGGAAGTGGTTTGGAACTACCGAAAAGTGCTAAGGAAATATTAGCGCAAAATCAGCAGCAGTTAGAGAGTGCTACTGTCACAGGTCCTGCAATTCCACCAATTGCAACGCAGTGCTTTATGCTTTCTAACATGTTTGATCCATCTCAGTAAGTAAACTCACATTCTTTGGCATATTCAACTTCTCAGGAAAAAAGTGATTTGCATGAAGATTCAGAGAGACAGTGTTACACCAGAATAAAAGTGCTTTTTATGAAACTATGTTTTGTTTCTACAGGGAAACGGGTGAAACTTGGGCTGATGAAGTACGAGATGATGTTATAGAAGAGTGCGCAAAGAACGGAGGTGAATCATTCTTTGCACTAAGTTGCATAATTTTTACTTAATTTGAACAACAATGAAACAAAATGAAATGAATTATGAAAAAAAAAAAATTAAAAAAGAGTGAAACAGAATTACCGATTTTATAGGAGTATTACACATATTCGTTGACAAAGCTTCCCCGAATGGCAATGTTTATGTGAAATGTCCTTCTGTAGCTGCTGCTTTTAAATCAGTGAATGCGCTACATGGGCGATGGTTTTCAGGTTTTTATCAGTCGTACTCGTTCTTACAGTGGAATGAGTCTTTTATTTATTTACTTTATTCTTATTATTTATTATTATTGTTATTGTTATTGCATTAAGTTTTTTGGTATAGTGGATCAGTGATTAACTCAATATCCCATTGAACAAAGAGAAGTCAGTGATATAATCATTCTGTGTTGCAGGCAAAGTAATCACAGCAAATTATGTTCCGGTCGCAAGCTATTCACAGCTGTTCCCAGATTCAGTTGTTGCGCGAGAACCTATTCTGTCAGCTGTAAAACCACCAGTTGTAACAGCTGCTATTCCAGGCGTTGGTTATTGAAGGGACGTTGTTTTACCGTTGTTCAGGAAAGGTTTCCGTTTTTCGTCTGATGTGAATATTACGTTGTTCTTTTTTTCAATTTGTTTCTCTTTGTTATACAATGGTGTATCCTTAAAGCCTGAAAATTCCCTCTTTTTTACCATACTTTTAGTTTTTGTGGAATTAAGCCATTGAAACATCAGTGTTATGGAAGGTTTGGGGAATTCTGCCTCGCGGATTAATGTTTTACGATATTCTTCAGGTTTTCAGACTTTTTCTTTGCTTTTGCTCCAGCTTCTCGAACGTATTAGTGTTTTGTGCAAAATATGACTAGTGGTTCAAGTTTTAATGCTATTTTACTTCAGTGCAGATTGGGAAAATATACCTTTAAATAATTTAGCATATCCATGTTATCATGTTATATTGTTTGATTCATTATATAATTCTGGATATTAAATGTTCACCATTCTGAGTCTATGGTCAGTGGTCCAACTCTGAGCTATCCAAAATGAATACGTTAATTCATTTTCTGTTTACGTCTCAGACGGAATATTTCGTCTTAGTTTTGCGTAAAAAAGGATTTTTTTTTTTTTTTTTTTGCAAAATATTTATGGATTGGAGAAATTTTAATATTTGGTACTGATTTTTGTTTCTTTGGCTGTGCCGTTCTGTCAAGTATCTTTTCCGGATTTGTGCTGTTCATGATTGTGAAAGTAATTGGAAAATTGTTTTCCAGCCAAGGTTTCCGAAGATATTTTGGGATTAGAGTGATTCTGAAGTGTTTGTTTTTTAGCCATTATGTAGTATTGAACTTCAGAACAGTCACGTAACTTCGACAGTCTTTGGAGGGTCAAGATGGTCTTTTATTAACCATGTAGTCAAATTTAACCCTCTCATTTAATGCAACAATCTAGTGAGAGTGAGGTTGTGGCAATTTATTGGTCATCATCTAGGAGGAGATTCTTAATGATGATCATATTATGCTTTTGGTTGCATTTATTACTTGGTTATGACTTATATAACCTATCCTGTAATTTCCGACAGTTCTTCCTCTATCTGCTTACTGGCAAATTCTGCACTGTTTTAATAGTTTCAAGTGTTTACAACTCGGACTTCTCGATGAATTCTCAGTTACGGAATTTTATGTCAAGTACTTTGGAGACTTTTGTTAAATACTGCAAGTTATTCATGTTGGTACTTTTGTTCAGCTTATGATGCTTGGTATGTTGTTCCACATGTATTTTATGACATTTGCTGTCTTAATGCTTGAAAATGTTTCACTGCAAGGGAAGTTAAGAGCACAATACTTAGCCACTTTCTCCTTTTCTAATCTCTCTTCTTCTCACGTTTCTATTTTCTACATTTCATGTTTTACCTTCTCTACAGGCTGGAGTTTCATGTGAAATATTTATTCACCAAATTTGCAAAAATTTTGACATTTGATGGATTTCCTCCGTAAATTTTCGAATTTGCTGTTCATGTTCTAAAAATGTTTTGGAACTTGCAAATAAATTTTGTCTGAGGTTCAAAAAACAGTTATAAAATTACATAAAATTACGAAGGAATAACTGTACGATTAGTAAAGTGTTTTGCATTAAAATGAATGCATAGATCTCATCGGTGCACAACAGAAGCACTGTGGTATATCGTTTGATGACGATGTTACGCTACCACCAATTGGTATCAAGCCAGGAAGTATTGCTGGGTTAATTGCGTTTTGCATCTTAATGCTTGGTTTGGTGGGATTTGTTGCAGGAGTAGCAGTTGATGTGGCCTAAAATTAAGTGAACTATAAATGGAATAAACATTAAATTCATATTTGATTCATTACATAATTTTGATTTTAGAAGTGTTTCTGGAACTAACTCTTTTTTTTCGAAGAAATGATGTATGGGAAAATTTTGGCTGTATCTGTATGGGTGGCTTGTTCGGATCAAATGCAAACATTATACCGCTTACTTCATCCTAAAATTATCCGTCATTCAGGATGGATTTCATATTAGACAAAAATTACAGGATAAGAGTTAACTTTCAAGCAATAAAAAATTACAAAATTATCATTTCGTTTGTAATTCAAGTATTAAAAACAAACAATTGAGGTAGTGTAATGTCGTGCGGCAATCTTGCAACAAGTATTGCAAGAATTCTCATTAGCTGTTGCAGTAAATCGACAAAATTCTCGCATTAATTTATTTGATGAATCTCCTGTAGAAAGAATTGAGTAGTTTTTTAAATTGTAATAAAGACGAGAAATGTTCGAATTTTTCATTATCTTTTTAATCTTCAAATTTTGAACAATGTGTCTTTTGTTCTTAATATGATATGATAATTGTTGTTTCATCAGAAAATATTTTGATAAAACTACAGGTATGACTTATTCTTATTGAGAAATATTTCAAATTATTATCCATTTCGTAAATTTATTAGAAAATTTTGCTATTAAAATAATAGAATAAACAAAACAAAAAAATTGCTTTATACCTGTTCCTAATGCAAATGATCCATGTGCTGAGCAATAAAATTCTGAAATTTTTAAAAAATTAGAAATTCTTAATATATTATAATTAAAATTTTTTATCTTTTACTTATAACGATAACTTTTTCATTCTTACTTTTTCATAAAATTGAAATTATTCATCGGAGTTTATTTCTCTATAAATTTATTGAATAATAATGATTAATGGGTAAATTTGAAATGAAACTTACGATCAAGTGCAAGTGGTACTGTATTACTGCATGATGCCGGTGGATAACAGGATGTATAGGATGGATAGTAACCTGATGAACCATAACTGTACGGATAGATGAATGGTGATACTTCACCGTACATCGGTGATATTGGTTGTAGCTGTGGTTGTGGTTGTTGTAGTAGTGGTGGATACCAATGTCCTTCACCAGTTTCATTTTTCACTCTACTTGATATATTTTGCTAAGAGAAAAAAAAGACGAAAAATTGCATTTGTATAAAATATATTTTCAAATTAGAAATTTTGAATGTTAAAAAATGAAACATTTTTTCAATAAAATGGAAAAATAAACTAAGCTAATATACAAATTAGAATATGTTAAAATTTAAAAAAAATTTTTTTGCTTTTCATCTTTTCCTTTTTTTTTTGCTTTTAATTATTTTTAATAAAACTAACCTTTGGTGATGCAGTTGAATGAACAATTCCTAAAATTGAGAGCAAAGCAAGCAGCAACAACATTTTGTTGACTTTCTGGAACGTTTTTTTTTCTTCGTTTTTAAGACACGAAATAAACAATGATGAAAAATTCAACTATTTATTACTTTTAAAATCAATGGGCGGGTTCATTGCATAATCTATTATATATTCTATATGCTATTATTAGAAAAAAAATTTTTTTTTTTTTTTGAAAACTTTATAGTGTAGTTTAGAATTTGTAAAATCATAACAATTTTTGATAAAAATATTCGGAATGAATAAAATTTTGTTTCTAATCGTCAGCATTTATAGTAATACTTTAAAAAATACAAATAATTTTTCTGTAATTTCAGGTTATTAATTTTTAACATTCTCAAATGTCATTAACATTCACAATTTTTGCTTTTCATGAAGATTAAAATTACTTTTAATATAATTTCTGAAAACATAATTTACTCAGCAATTTTAAATTAATTGCTATTTGATAAAGAATGATGCAGAATGAATAAGATGTTAAGAAGAGATATTATAATGTTTTAATGTTTAATCTTTTTTTTTTCTTAATGTTGTTTAGTCCTTCGCTTTTTTTTTTTTTTGATATTTTCTTATAAATGATTTGAATATATCAAAAAAACAAGTTAACATTTCATAAAATGTTATCTCATACCAATACAAAAATGTTTGGTTAAAAAATTGAACAAAAAAAATAATAATTTAAAATTTTAAGTTATAATTTTTCTACTTTTTTCTGCAGAAATGAAATGTAAATAAATTGTAAACTTTTTTTGGAATAATTTTTTTTCATCTCTTTTTTTCTTTCTCTTTCATTTTTGCACTTTTTTAATTGGGAAAATAAAAGTACTCGGAATTGATACATTCTGTGATTTGAAACAAACTGATAGAATCATGCAAACTTTCACAATTCACATAATGTTTTGTTTTTTTTTTTTATGAAATGCATAAGAATATATTAAATTTTCATTTGATTGATCATCAGTTAACTACATCAAAATGTTTTCTATTAAAATAATAATATTATAAATAATATCTATTAAAATAATATTAATATTTTCTATTAATAATAATATTTTGTGATTTTTTATTAGTAACAATAATATTTTCAATTTATCTATTAAAATAATACAAATATTACAAATAATATTTATTAAAATCAATTGAACCCAATCGTTGAAATATTGTTGTTAGCCGAAGATATGAAGATAAGAAAATGAGAAAAAAAAAAAAGCAAATATTTAAAAAAAACCAACAAAATAATTTTATTGTAGCGTTTAGAAACTGTGATTTTCTCGTCCGATATGATTTCAATGAGAAAAACCGAAAAAGAAGGAAACGAAAAAAAAAAGGAGAAAAAAAATTGACGAAGATTTTCACAAGTTATCAAAGAATGAGATTGTAAATGATAATAGATTATATTCAAATATCTCATGATGAGTCATTGCGGGAAATAAGAATTATAAATTATTGTGTTTATACTACTATTCTTTGATTAACATCCATTTCCGGAAAATTTTCGAAAGTTTTAACTAATAAAAGTTCAGCATATTATTCAGATTGCACCAAAAATTTGATAAAAGTATACTATAAAGTAAATAAATAAATTAATTAACCTTTCGCTTTGTATCTCAACACTTGAAAATAAATGCCTTCAAAATTTGCAAATTTTCAAATAATCTTTATAAAATGATAACTTATCCAAGATAAGTTATTCGTACTACTTGTGTTATCAATGAAATAAATGGATTGATAAAAGAGTTGATACGTGGTTATTTCTTGCATTGACAAAATCAGCATCAAAATACCTTTATCATTACTGATATAAACATTATTAAATCCAAAATCCAATATTCTTATCTTTTTCGTTTTGTTATCATAATAATGTAATAATCATTCATTTGCTTATTATCATAACAATTAGCACGGTTGCATCCATTATTACTGTATTGATAATACCACATTTGCGTGACTGGAAATTCACATCTAATATATTTGCTTATGTTTGTTTCAAAACTGACTTTTTTGAATTTTGAAATGAATTATTATATCATTCCATATGATTGTTTTTTCAATTTTTTTTTCTTTTCTCACACAAATTTTGTACTAATTATTAAATAATTTGATTGAATGTTGTTGTTATGTATCATTTATAATGATTTAATGATATATAGTGAAATCGAAAATCAGAAAAGTGATGTTTATTGATAAAATATTATCCATTCACCAAAATTATGCTTTTTTTACTATACCATACTACTTGTTTAAGGTTAGGTATAATAAATCTGATGTTATAAAATCGAGAAATTTAACGTTAAGTTAAATTTCTCGATTTAACAATGTATATATGTAATATAATAAGTAAGAAAGTCAAAACTTATTGAACTGAAAAAAAAAATATTTTTGGAAAAAATTTAAAAGGCTCCGCCCTAAATATTATTATTTTCTATATAAAAATTAGCTGTGCTTTTTACAATCACTTTTTTTTGCAATTTCAACAATACATCTCAAGCAAATGCACTCGATTTGGAGCACTACAATTACTGTACTCTTCTTATTTGCTATTGTAGAAAGATCTAATGTAAGTTAACAAATTAATATTTTTAAAAAATTTAGTTAGTAAAGTTTGCTGTATTATCATTTATTAGGTTTACAGATGTGTTGCAATTTTTTCTATGAAGTTTTAAAAATTTCAAACAAATCCTAACAATTTTGCCGGTCCTTTCTTTTCTTTTCTTTTCTTTTCTTTTTTTTTTTTTTTTTAAAGATTAATAACAAAAAATATAGGGAATTTATTTAGAATCTTTTAAAATAATTTGAGTAGAAATTTTCTTAAAATATTTAACATTATCATATTTTACAGGCAGCGTTGAAAAATCAAACTGGTGAAGGTCGTTATTATTGGGGACAGCCGTATGGTTTACCACAATGGCAAGCACAACAAGGCTGGGTACCACAACAAAATTGGATGCAACCACAAGGTGGAATTACATCACAGGGATGGGCACTACCACAAGGTGGAATGCCAATGACAGGTTGGGTACCATCATCAGTGCAACCAACTCCACCACCATTTTTGTGGACTCTTTTTGACGACAGTAAGTGTAAATTTTCAACTTTTGAAAAATTTGAATTATAAGTTTAGTTCATTGTTTATAATTGTAAGAATGCAAAGAAATTAAAGCCTTCTAAGCAACTCTTTTTTTTAATTATGAAAAAAATTTAGGAAATGTCTGTACATTGGATGCATCAATATTAGTTGTTTTGGAAAACGATGGATCAACTGCGCCAGGAGGAATGGATGTTAATGCACAGTTGCTATCTGCTTATTACGGTGGTGATTTATCCTCAAATGCAGTAAGGATGCCATGTTCCAGTATAGCAACTACATCTGCGCAAGCATGCACAGCTTGCTGCAAAATGGCATGCAAGCATTATACCATAAGCGTGGCAAGCTTTTATGCATTCTTTAATACTGTTAAAATTGTTGAAAAAAATTAGGTGGAATTAATGGTTATGCAACTGAAAAGTAGGTAATCGAACACTTCAGGAAGATGTTCATGGATTTTTAATTAATTCGACAAGACTCCTTGCTGGTCAATTCCCAGATATTGCATTACCAACATTTCAACGAATGGTTAGTTTTACCTCTACATTATTAATTCAAACATATCATTAATTTATGAAAAAATGTGAAACATCCTTTAATACTGTTGAAAAAAATTAGGTGGAATTATACTGTAATCCGGGAAATTCTGCTAAAACTTTATCACCAAGAGAGAATGCTTTAGAAACGACAGGGATCGATACCACCACAAACATTACCACCACTGCCTCCAGTTTCTTGTGTGTGTTGTGGACCACGACGTTTCTTCACTAATTGGTCTCCTTCTGCACCTAACTCACCACCACAACCAATGTGACAAAAGCCATTAACTAATTAATTAATCAATGCCTATTTTAATCACCTAATATTTTATTTTCAATATTACTCATACCACCTTCTTGTTAAACAAAAGAATTTGATAAACATTTTTCATGCATTTCATTGTTGACTAAAAATACGATAACTCACAAATTTCCCGGACATTATAATTTTGGGTAATCCAAGCCATTCTTGAAAAAGGACTAAATGAGGTTACTACTGATTTTTTGTGTGAGTCGATTACATAGCTGCCTCTGATATATATAATATTTTAAAGAAGCGTAGTTTTTTCTGCAATCTTTGAATTTTCTCGGTCCATATTCAACTCATCGTTTTCTAAACCTTGACTGCAAAAAACACAAGTCTTTTTTTTTGGGTGGGTAAGTTTTTTTTCAAATTGATGTATACACATAAAACACTAGAAATGTAAGTTGCATGGAAACAAATTAAAAACTAAATCACTTTTTATATACTATTTTATAAAGAGTACTATAATTTGAGACAATAATCAAATCTACTAGTTTTTTACACCAGCTAGTGTTGTTACAACATATTGTATTTCGCCGCCACCAAGACATTCGTTATCGTTATAAAAAACACATATCTGAAATTAACATTTTGCTTAACAACAAACAACTCTATAAATTATATTTTTTTCATTATGAAATTAAAAATGACACCTGGCCAGGGGCAGCTGCTCGAATTGGATTATATGGCTTAACTTTTAGAAGTCCTTTTTCCAGTCGAGTAAGTTCACAAAGAAGTGCCGGATGTGTCCTTTGGCAACGAAATTCCATTTTTACAACGCCTCAAAAAACAAATTTCAGCTTATTTATCAAAACAATCAATAAGAACTTAAAATTACGGGAAAAAAAAGTTAGGAACAAACCTGCGTCACCAAAAGGACATTCAGATATCCAAACGGGTTCTTCAACAACAAATTCACGGGCAAACAAAGCTGGATGATGAGATCCTTGACACTATATACTTGGAATTTTAAAGAGCAACAAAATTCTGCTTACAGGAACAAGGAAGGATAAGTCGACAAATCGAAACTTCGTAAAAAATGTCAACTAAAGCTCACCATCAGATAAATTTTCGAGCA